GAAGTGTAAAAACACATCATGACAAAGCACTTTTTATAGCCATAATGTGTAAATTGTTAATTAAGAGTTAAGCACTAAAATCATCAAAAGATAATGCCATAATGAATTTGTGTGTGTGTATATAAAAAAGAGAATGTAAAAATGATATATTGCATCACAGCTGATAAAAGAGGATAACATTATGATTACATTAGTAAACTAACAGTTTATTGCGCCTTTTAAAATTACATTTACAAACTATTTTAAGTTTGTTCATAATTAAAAAAAAATAGAATTGTAATGGTTTTGGAAATCCCCTGTACAACTTCTATGAACATTACATATATAAATAAATTACAACCATTACAAAAACGCCAAAATATTGTTTATAGGTGATTTTCAAGTATGTATTAACCATTTCACAAGGTGGTCTTCAGCCTAAACTTTATAACAAACTCAAAAATATTTGTAAAGACAGTGGACAAACCAATCATCCATAGTAGCCATCTTTTAACACAAGGAAATCAAATATCAGATCATTTTCATACTTAGTGAAACTGAGGTTTTAGTATGTTAAATGTTGCTCTGTCAAACATATAATTCAGTATGACTAATTCAAAACTAAGCTGGCAGAAGAGGGCAGATATTTCATCAAATGTTTAACTGCAAGATGATCTTTTTGTGGGTTCACACATACGCATTGTTTACAGAGACTAGTTTTAGCACAGACGTGAAACAAAACCTTTCATGGCATTTTGAAAAGTTGTGATTTCCCTCTTGTGCCCACTTTCCATGCCTACTTTCAGATTGATTTCAATGACTTCCTGTTGCATGCTGGGGACTTTCCTTACTCTCCTCGGCTACTATCAAAACATCCAGAGGTGACCGGTACTTGGATGTTCACAAAAATGCACAAAACGCAAAAAAACACAGCCGTATTTTACGAATAAGTGAAAACACAGACAATATATACTTTGATATCTTAAGTACAAGTGGGAATGTAACTAGGTGTATTACAGTAGGTGGTGATATTAGAGGATGAGAAGTGCTTTGGTTTTACGTTTCTATAACTTGTTTTCGTTATACCTTTTAATTTTTGGGGAAATAAAAAACACTGAATTGACGATTTAATGGTCAAAGTCTGCATAGAAGCCAAACATCAGCCCGAGATAAAGCCACAAAAGCAATACATGTTTAACCCCTACATAAATAATAAACCCAATAACTATGACCACACTCTCAGTGTCTTCTCATGTTTTCTTTGATCCAACCAAACCCACAATAAGTGACCGGAAGAAATAAATGGAAACGCAGAAATAACATACGACACAAAAAGTGTCCATAGAGACAAAACCAAACAAAGCGCTCATCCCCTCAGAAACTGCCTTCTTAGTAATCTTCCAAATTCCCCTTTGAGTCAGATATTTTCTACACCACTTTCATTTGTCGTAGTCTTGACATCACTGTGGTCTTATTGTTAACACAATGTGTCATTTCCTTCTTTATTTTCCAACATTTTTTCAATTAAAAAGCAGAAACATGGTTTTCTTGTAGACGCAATTTACCATCCATTCTTAGCAGTCCCCGGAAGGTGGGATCACTGGTACTGGTGTTCAACAGCCCTGATACATTTTACATTAACAAACCAACACTTTTTTAATTACCGGTATGTAGATGTACTGTAAGTGGAGGAAGGAGTAGTATACTTTTTGTTTCATAAGATACTGTAGGGGTTGTATCAAGTACTTATTCATACTCAAGGAGGTTGAAACTCCCTTACTTTGGATTAACACTGCAATGCTTTGCTCTGAATTTGGCAGCAAATGTATTTTAGCCTCCTTCGAAAGGGCAGATCCAAAAAAAAAAAATCAATAGCTGTAGTGTAAGTAAGTGTACATTAATGCTATATTTAAAATATTTGTACTGCTTTACACTATGCTGCCTTGACTGGTTAATGTATAAGTGTTACTGATTGACTTTGGTGAAAATCAACTAACCCTTTAAAAACACAAAGTCACTCCTGAAAGCTTTTCTTAACTGGGGGTGCAATCACCTTACGACTCGAAGTACAACATCGCTTTCAAACAGTCAAACTATCCCTTTAAGTGTTCATGTTCTCCCTCTATGATATCTGAATGAAATGTACATGTATAAAGACCCTATAGCCCTCCAGAGGAGTGTACTGAATGGTTGGTGATTAACTATACCTGGGCACCATGGAGTCCCCTCCTCTCAGAGTGGTGGGGTCCAGCTCAAAGATGGAGGAGATGTCCATGCCGTCGGGAACTGGAACCAAAGTGTACATGATCTTCTCCTGTGGAGCTCGCAGACGACCCCGTAAAGCTTCATTGTCCGCATCCAGCTACGGAGAGAGATAGCAACAGCAGTCAAACACAACATATATAAAACATATCAATCCACAACTTTGATAAGGGCAAAGATAAAGCATGTTTTCACTCTAACGTACTACTATCCAGCTGAATTCACACCTTAGCTCTCACTCTTTACTTTATTACTGAAAAAAAACAGAAAATATTATTACTACTGACTTTTGGGCCTTATTGGCACAGAACTACAGATCCATGCTTGTTATTTTCAGTGTGGTTTGTATCAGACTGCCCCCTAACGGTGATTTGTATTGAATCAGCTGATATGGTGCTTTGATGACACACTGTGGTGAACTACTGCTAATAAGATACATGCCCAAATAAAAGAGTTTGTGGTGAGTGAGGGTGAGAAAGAGAGAGAAATTGGAAAACAAAGCAGCAAAGACATTATGACATGTGCAGTATATGATTTTTGTGCTGATTGTTTGACAGTACCTGGAAATTAAAGGGTGAAAAGTCCACCACCTAGAGCAGAGAGCAGAGGCAGCACAGAAGTGAACAGATTAGATAGAAGTGGGGAAACCAGCGTGACAAAGTGATCAGAGGAGAAGAGATGAAGTCTTACTGAGGAACGCTGCTCGGCACTCTCCTCCTCAAAGTCCTGATTCACCTGGAAAACACACTCACATGTCAAACACCCTCCCAAAAATATGTTAAAACGCGGTCACTGAACCAGGCATCCAATGTACCTGAACGTCTAGATCACAAAGCTCTACGTACAACCATGTCATAGTTCTTTGCGGATTCAAACTTTAAAAAGGTCCCCAATAATACTGTTTTTCATCAATATATTACAGGTCTCAGATATATACAAAACATGTCTCTGAAGTGTTTGGCTCCAAACACCAAACAGATCATTGCAGCATTACCCATAATCCCCTCTGTTTCAGCCCTGTTTCCAAAGTGCTGATTCTCTGTCTGTTATTTTAGATGAAAATAAGGAGCCCCTCCCCACGCCCCTCTGAGAGAGATTTGGTTAGAAAGAACACAATGGTGCTCTAGGAGGAGATTCAGGTGATAAGGGGGGGGGGGTGGTTACCTTGGTTGGTGATTGGCTAATGGTTACCCAAGCCAAGAAATCGTTATGACATCATAAAGAGACCAAAATCTGATCAGCTCATTTTCAGACAGGTTTTTATATAAATGGATCAGGACAAAAAGAGAGAGAATCTTTTTTCTCTTTACACAGAGGGGACACATGTTGATGTATAAGAGACATGGAAAAGTGGATTCTGCATAATAGGTGACACAAAATTGTAAAGTATGCATAGATACAGAATTAGTCAGTGGGAGGTAAAAAGGTGAAGGAGTTGACACTCACCTCTCCCATCTCCGCAGCCATATAGCACCCTGTGGCAAGGTGCTTGAACCTGAACAGGCTGTTCCAGTAGCCAGCGCCCCCCCTGCAGGGGTCATGGTGGACCACCTGGAAAAAGACATTGAAAAAAGGTAAGAATAAAACTAATGCTGCTTTATTTGTGAAATCTTAGAATGATGATTTGTATTGTATTGCTCTTAGCCCTCCTGTCGTGTTGTTTCTCCCCCTCACCAGGTTGACATCCACCTGGATTCATCTTCTAATGTATAGACAAATGCATTTTCAAGCATTTGGACTATCTATGTTGTAAATGTATTGTCTTTCAATTTACACACGACATCTAGGACATCCTGGGAGACGGCCTGCTTTTGCTGCTTTCACACAAGCTTGCTGTAGTTATTGCATTCACTGTATGGATTACATGCAGTTTATCATTTGTTCTGAGCCGTGTTGTTGTGTATTAATAATATGTACTCAATGATAGAAAATTGGTCACACAGGAAAATCTTTTGGAAAACTAAACTAGTTTATAAAAAGGGCAATAACAGACAGAGTGAATATTATCCAGACAACATGTTGTGCTTACCTCCACTTCCCACAATGCTTTGCTGCTGGTGGCAGAGGTGGCAGACTGACGGCCGGTTGTTCTGAGGAAAACATGCTGGCTCTTCCTGTGGTCGTCACAAGTGAGGAACTTCTCCTGCTCTGCGTGGAACAACCGCACTACATCGCCCTGTGACACACACACACACACACACAAACACACACACACGAGCACAGCGTGAAGCGTGAAGCATTGCATTTATCCCACATGTCAATATTTGATTGTCATTTTTATTCTCTTGCGATCATGTTGATGATTTTTTGGATGAGTGTGTTTCTTTAATAGATCTAATATACTGTATATACTGTTGTACAAACGCACCCCTTTAAGTATTGTCTCCTTGTTGTCACTCCATTTCATGAACAGAGTAACTTTCCAACTCGTGTTGCAATTGACAGAATTGACCTGCCAGGCAAAAGAGAGAAGTGTGTGAACAAACCACAGTTTAATGTTGTGTTATAAACAAAAATAAGTATGTACTGTATGGGCCTTATGTACCTCATTGCATCCTGTGTTGTCCACTAGCTGGTGGCTGCTGGCATGAAGAGGCTGACCCGCATTCACAGGGTTAAGGACTACTTTATCTCCAATCACCACCTAAAAACAGAGTTTTCAAATCGGAGAGAATCAGTTACTCTTAAGAAACGGTCTAAAATCTAGAAATAAAGAGTCATTCAGTGAAAGGCAATAGAACATTTGAATATAAAATACTGCAGCCGAAATAGGTCCTCTGTGGGGATTGAGCACTTCACCTAAGTTCTAAAATAAAAAGTATGTCACATCCCCAGATACCAGCCATCATTCTTGAATTCCCTTTCTGCACAAGGTGAACTCAACACTCAGCTTTGGGAAGCCAGGTTACGTTGGATCATGCAAGCCTCAGGTTCAACACTAGGGGGAGTCGTTCTCCATACTGTGAGTGAGAGAGGACAGGATCTGAAGTCCTGACCCTGAGCATCACTCACTCACTCACCACAAAGGAATGTCAGCAGCAAGAATCAATAAAATAGAATGTTTTGGTAATTATATTTAGTATAAACTTATTTAGTTTTATATATACAGTTTGCTCACACCACTGAGTTCCCGCGCTTTCAAGTGAACTCTATAAGAGCCTGGAACTTAAAGGGGCCGTATTATTGTAATTTTCACATTAGGTATTGATTGGTCAACCGCTTAGAGAGGTCCCGCCCCTTAGCCTATCATGTACAATGTGTTGGAGTGCAAGCCAATTAAAGCAGGAGCGTAACATAGTGATGTCATTATGTTACGGAAGTAAACAAAGGAATCCAATGAAGGCGTTTCAGGCGTGGAGGGTGGGGAGTATGGGAGAGAAACTCCCTCCAGATGGAACGTTGTGATTTTAGCCTTTGCAGACCATTTACATGCACTTATACAATACACTAAAGGAAAGGGAAAACTCCAAAGAGCATAATAGGCCCTCTGTCTCTCCATTTACTTTGACGGAGGGGCCTTAGAACTGGAGTTGGTTTAAACTGGAGTTGCCTGCCCTACTTATTAAATAATTAGGATAGTTCGAAAGCAGATGACGCATTTCCAAAAGTGGATTAAGAAAGCTCGACTTAATTAGCAAATTAGCCATCTTACCTCGGCACTGGACTCGTAAAGCATTGTTGCACAAGAGATACACAATGTATTGTTTCAATGCAGCAGAACCTTAGGTATCATTGATTTTATTCCACGTAAACAAAAGAAAAGGCACAGGACCTGGAACTCTGATTGGGCTAATTGTCTTCTTAATGATTCTGTCTGCAAGCAGCATGCGAGTCCATGGGACTTCTGTTTTGTAACCCTGTGAAAAGTCTAAAGATAGATCCTTCCTTTCTCCCACTGATGGTAATTAGTCTGAAGCCCCGCTCTACCCACACTGTCTCCCAGGGACCGCAGCTTGTAGAAAGGCTGGATGTAGAACCAGGATCCCTCATTTCCCGCCGAGTCCAGAGTCACCCTCATGGCATTCTTCTCCAGCAGTGCAGGTAGGCGCTTGTTCACTGTCAGGTATTTGTTGCTTTTCAAATGCAGCAACTGTTGGCAAAACAAAAAAGGGGCACAACATAGTTTCAAGACAGATAACTATGACATAATACAGACATTGGAACAATCAGAGGATGGAATCAGATGAAAATACGTCAGTCTGGCACAACTACACACAAGGGAACACTTGACTGAAAACATCCATCTCCGGATCTCGCTGGTATCTTTATTTATTTTCAAAAGTATGCAAGTCCTTCAAATGTCTTATCCTTGAATGCTTCTCATGAACTCTGTTGGTTCTCCCCCTTTAAAACAGTTCCCACCCTGTCAAAAAATAATCTAGCACCAACCAGACTGGAATCATATAAACTCTGCATATTTGAGGCCCATGGTCTGTTTAACTAAATGCCAAATGTAATCCTTCAAAGCGTTGTACAGCGTTAGAGACCGGGGGGGTTTGCTCTGAAGAGAGCCTTTGATAGAAGCTTCAAATGTAAAATAAATAGCATTTGGTGCAGCCCTTTCCTTTCCGCAGAACAATTAACAGACTGAGAGGAGACACTCACTGAATTTGAACCACAGACTTGTAATCAAATAAAAACTCTAACTGAACTGTTATGACCCTGTCTGTCAAAATTAGGACAACAAGCGAGTTCCATCGACCACTTAACTGCACCTATGTGTATGAGTTGTTGATTAAAATCTTTTCCTAAGGCAAACCAGGAAACAATAGGTGCTTTGTATTAATAGACTGACAGTTCATTGCAACTGTGACTTCCTGAACTGTTTGCATTGTCACTAACGTGTGCATCACTGAGCTGGAATGCACGGCTGTTCCTAGTTTCAGATGATCTCATACCTGTGTGCAAACCCGGGCAATGAGATAAGGAATTACAACGGACGACTTTGAAGCAAGCCTTTGTGCTGTAGCAGTTATTTAAACCTGATTACAACTGAATTATATTCCGTGTTATCAAGCACAGGGTGTCATTTAAAGTGCTAAAAAGGTTGCTCCCGAAGCACCTTATCTCATTGGTTCCTGAACGCACCTGAATGACATTTCCATACTGGATGACTGATCCCAGCAGCTTGCGGTTTTCAGACTCATTCTGCTTCTTCTCCAGGTCAGCAGCATGCTAAAACACAGAGCAGGAAACACAGATGTTCAAGGGAACTGAGGGCATTCGATACTTGTTCTAGGAAGAATGATACTTCACATAAACACAAGGCTACAGGCTTCGTGTGCCTACTCCATACACCATTATTTGCAACATAATAAAACCCGAAAAGCAGACAAAGTAAAGGTGAAGAGGACCCTTACGTGGAGTTTGGTGAGGAGGAGTGTGTCGGTGGTGCTGTTTCCTCCGGGTTTCGCCGCTTTCCAGAACTGTTTCTGTGCCGAGTATCTGTTCATAGGACACAGTTTGAAAAGGCAGTCTGCGGATAGAAGACAAGAGATAGGGAAAGAGTCAAATGAACATCATTTTTTATTAGTTTTTGTGCATGTTAATGATCTGCAAAGACTCAAATCTCTCACATACTTCCCCATGCCTGAACTGCCTCAACTGGAAATATAATACAGCTATAAGATAGCTACTGGGTCAACTCGTTTTTATTTGTTGATGCTTTCAGGAACCTCAAGCCGGTCCACATTTCCTGCCAAAAAGTTGCAGCTTAACTCATAAATGCTCATTATAAGAATAGACTCAATACAATTAGTCTTCTAGGTATCTCTATCTGTATCATTGTGCTCGGAATGATAACAAGTGCTCAGCATATTCGTGCAACATGACAGAACAAGTTAATAAGTACAGAAAATATAAAGGTTTAATAACAAATTATAATCGATAAAAGACAACGTTTAAAAATAGATTGAAACAACCAGCATGGGCCAAAAAGACAGAAATATGCGTATTTGTCTTTGAGGTTTAGGGCTTATAGGTTTAGGGCTTAGGGAAACGATCTACTATAAATCACTACACAGCATATAAACATGTCTCATCAATTAGTCAGTGTTTCCCCATAAGGTGAAGCTATATGCTAACTGGTACAGGGGACCTGAACCAGGCTAAATGTAGCCTCTGACGCGCTCTCACTGTGAAATGCGGTCAAAACAAGAGTCTCCCGGGGTTACCCATCATGGGCCGGGAGGTGCAGGACAGGCAGAGAGGAGGCCAAGGACTAATGAAGGAAGTAGGGCATTGGGAGAAAACACTTTTGATGAACAAATGAGGTTAATGAAAAGAGAGAGGAATAAACTGGGACGTACTGTATGTGTATTTCATAGGCAGAGAGTTGGTTGATAGCAGAAAGATGATAAATGATGAGAAAATGGAAGTCAATTTATCTAGTTGTTATAGTACGATCATCAACAACGACAAGCAGCGCCGTGTTCTGCTTTAAAGAGGCCCTATTGTGCTTTTCGGGGTTTCTCCTTTCCTGTGTGTTATATAGGCTATTGTGTAAACGGTCGTTAAGAAAAAAGGCAAAAGTCCCTGTGTTCCCTACACAGGGAGTTCCTCTCCCACACCCTCCCCCACCCTCCTGCCTCAACCGCCTCCATAGAGTGCCACAGTGACGCGTCCTAAAACCCGGAAGTAAGTTAGCATTTTCCCACTTCCGGATCCTTCGACAAAAAGCAATGCAATTTCTCCATAGGATTTTGGAAAATAGCTCGAAATAAGGTCTGCGGTTGACACACATTGAAGAGACAGATTTTCTAATCATAAATCTATTGATTAGATTTATGATTAGAAAATGATAAAAGTAGGGTAGACATGTGGATATTATCCGACTGAACAAAACGTGATCTGTCTCTTCAATGTGTCTCAACCACAGATCTTATTTCGGGCTATTTTCCAAAATCCTATGGAGAAATTGCATTGCTTTTTGTCGAAGGAACCGGAAGGAGTTTACTTCCAGGTTTTAGGACGCGTCACTGTGGCACTCTGTTGGACTAAGTGGCGAGTCATCTCTAAGCGGTTGACCAATCACAACAGAGCCGGCCAGCTAACCAATCAGAGCAGACTGGGCTCTGGTTTCAGACAGA